GCCTGATCTTGCGAACTACTGGAACTGTCGCAAGCCCTTCGTCTCTGAACCATCCAAGATCGTGAACTCCTCTGTCGCCGTTCTTCCTGCGCCGACTCCTCCGAAGCTTCGCCAAACTCCCGGAATTCGCAGAAGCTTGAATCCTTGAAACCTAGCCGCCAAATTTTCTTCAAATCTTCTTTCTTCCTGCGCCGGAAAATTTTATGCCCTCCAACCTCGCTTTGATACCACTTATTGAGAAATTAAAGTGAAGAAAAATAGTAATCGACACAAATCCAGAAGAACACAAAGATTTAACAAGGTTCGGCGAAGATGCCTACGTCCTCGGAAGCAGAGCGGCGAATTTCTTTCAATATTCAGAAAAGAGATTACAGAATTTGGAGATAACACCTTGGGTTACATACAAACCTATTTATAACCCTAGAAAACCCTGAAGTACAATATGTAATTACCAAATTAACCATGTATCACACCCCCAACCCACATAAGGAAAATAGCTTAATTTGGACAGAATCTTCCGCTCCGCTCCAAAATCTGTCCCTTTATGGTATATGAGTAATATCTAACAAGTAATATCTAACACTCTCTCTTCTTTTCTCTCTGTTCTTCTCTCTCTACATTAAGATAGATCGAAGAAACTACACCGAGATACACCGAAGAAGATAGACTTACAAGAGAAATAAACCCAAATTCTCTTCTGCCACAAGCCACCAAGAAGAAGCCAAGGGAGAACAATATTCTTCTTCTTCTTTCTTCTTCTTATTCTGCAGCAATGAACTAATGCTTGCACTTCTCTTCCACTCTCCCGTAGAAGTCCTTCTACTGTCCCATGGAAGTCCGAAGAAGAACAAAAGGTCGTGCTTCAAAACTTAAAGGAGAGTCGTGCGTGTGTTGCCTTTTATCACGAACAAAAAGGGAATCACGACGATTCGCGAAAGTAAGCGGGAGTTGGCTGGAGCGGTTCGCGAGCAAACAGGAGCGGGAACGATTTCGCAATCGAGCGGGAGCGGGAAGGCGGGATCGGGCTCCAACCAACAACAATTACATATAAAAAAAGTGAAATACACCTTCACACGTTAGATAAGGTTGTGGCTGAAGTTAGAAATTGAAGTTTAGGTTTTAATCATGTAAATACATTGGAATTGAGCAGTATGCATGTAAATCCTGCTATATTGTTTTCGCTCAGCTTGAGTGGCTGACATCAGAAATTCCAAAAGACATTTTGGTTGGAAATGCATTACGGGTAGCATCACTGGCCGGGAATTATAAACTGAACCATTTATGTTCCTATCAAATGTCACTACATAAATGTTCATATGTAGAAATATACCCAAAAATCCATATTGGACAAAATTACAACTATGAAAGGGATAACCTCTGGTATTTGAGTAATGCCTATTGAAGTTCAAGATTTGAAACTTTTTCGAGCCCAAATCTTATTGTGCAAAACAGTGGAGAAATCAAAATCATACAACATGCTAAAATGCTAATACGGTACAATTTACATGGTTCAACACTAAACTTTCAAATTTAACATCAGTGTCATACATAAGCATTTACATACCAGACAATTCTTATGTCCTGTGGAACGGCCTTTAAAGCAATCCTTCAATGAAGCATTTAACGTCAGATATAGTGCTATACAGATGTAAATGAAAGCAGACAACAAGAAAAGATGGAGAGAAGCTCAGCTGACACTGCGGCTAAAGTTGTAGAAGAAAACAATTTTGATTATTAATCAATTAGATTAATGAAAACTAACATAAATAAAATCAAATTAAACCCTCAACCCATCTTTCCCACTACCTCTCCTGCCCAAAACCTGCAATACATATCACCCTTCACACCCAGTTTAGCCCAAAACCATGGTGATTGTACCTTGGCCTTTCCGCGTTGTAGGCAAAGGATAATCGACATTGTCTCGCTTGGGCTCGTCGCTGCTGCATTCCGCTCCTCCTCAAACTCCACGGAAAGCTCCTGGATCGCAACCTGCTGACTAGCTAGGCTTTCACGGAGGGCTATCTGCTTGTTTTCGACCTCCACGAACACGAAGCTAGCCTGCAGCGCCGCGTTCATCTCTTGCGAGCGAGGGAGAAGACGCGGGGCTTCAAGTAAATAAGCGATCAAAAATGCCGCACGTGAGGGTCATACTACGGGCTGCGTGTTTCACAAAATTAAAATGCGATTTTTACGTATGCATGTGAAACACGCGATCCAAACGCTTCGACGGAGTTTTCAAAACTTTGCTCGCAGTTTCAAACTGCCCCCAAACGGGCCCTTAAATTGCCACAAGTTTAGCACAAAAATGTTTTCTTTATAGCCAATTAAGCAGCCACTTTTAAACATGTTGTCTTAAATATATTTTATTTTTATGTTCTTACACCCTTTTGAGACTTCGAGCTACACAAAAGCTGAATTTAATGAATTTATTTGTAATACAAACACCAATTTTAAGTCTTAAAAACAAAGTCAACATATTAAAATAATGTTAGAAAAAATAAATAAATGTTATGTGAAAGGTTATATGACATTTTTTATCACAACCACAAGCCAAGAAATAAATAAATAAATTCATGCTCCATTTTATACATGTTTAGATTTATAAATATGCAGATGTGTAAATTTCTTAGGCTCATTCTCAAAATAAAATATTATATATTTTGAAAGGATGTACATACAACACTGGATAAGAATGTCACATCACTTTTAAATGAAATTATGTTGATGTGGCCACCCTATTCATCTTTGTTCGCACATGCTTAAAAATAGGGCTATTAAAATGGCTCGTTGATCGGGAATAACTCATTTTCGTTCGTTAAGTGACTTGAGTTCAATTCTTTCGCTAAGTAAATAATTTTTTTTGTGCTTGATATATAAATGAGCCGAACACAAGTAAAGATTTGTTCATTTGTGTTTGACTCATTTTGACTCGAAATAATTACTATATATATATATATATATATATACACCATTCTTGCCATACCTTGTTTATACGACTAAAAGATGATGATATTTCTATCTCTAACCTAAGAATTTTTATTAATCACTATGAATTATCTCATGTGGTTATATCATGTAAAAAGATGAATTATATATATTTGATAGCTTTATTTTCAACTTCAACTCCCTATGGCAAAGTTTGCTATATGGCATTGACCAATTTTTAATTCAAATTTGTTATTAGAAAATAGTTAATTTTTTATTTTGTTTTATGTGTATATTCACATTTGTTTCAATATTAATAAAAAATAGGATGCAATGGAGAAAAAAGGCATTTTTTAATATTTTTGTAAATTATATTTTTTTAGTATTTAATAAAAAAAATGATGCATGGAGTTACACTTAGATTTGCCACAAAAATTTTGAGTTTTGAGAAATGAAAATATTCTAGGAGCTCTTAATATCACGAGCACAATGGCTTTGATGATAGAAAAATGATGATCAAATGATTCAAAATAGGATTTAGAGAATACACGTGTGTTTCGTCATCATTAGAAAACATCAAAACTGGTGAGAGCAAACCAATTTCATGGCACCTTAGTTTCTATTTGTTAGCCCAATGTGTCTTACCATGATAATAGTTTTCAATAGATGGTCATGGCTTGCTAGAGGTGAATAGTGTAGGTTGCTTTAAACTTCTTGTTAGTAGGTTCAGGTCAAAAAATTCAACACATTTATTATTTGGGTCGATTTCGGGTTGACCCCACCCAAAATTGATCCCTGGACCAAAATTTAATTTGACCCCTCGAACTTGACCCAAAATGAACTCAGTTTTGATCGGAAATTGATTTAAATTTGATTATAATAGTTGCTATTACATATGTTAAACGGGTTACATATGTCACGTTAAAGTCACTTAAGTTGAAGATGGGTCAGGTTTATGTTATATATTATGATTCATGTTATATTTTAAGGTTAGGCTCGGGTCAAACAGTTTTGACTCGGGATAATTTCAGGACAGATAGATATGTAAAAATGTATTTGTTCCTTCTCTCTTCATGTAATTATTTAAAATGTTGATTAACCTTCCAAGCAAGCTTTAAATATCATTTGAGCTTGTAAATGGATAATTCTAATATTGGTGGAATTGCCTTGTTGGGTAAGTTGTTTAAACTATCAATTTAGTCAAAAGGATTATAGTAAAATATAGAGTTATTTTTATATTCTTATTACTATAATTTAATTTTTAGAGTACAAATGTGTGTTAATAGTGTAGTGTTGCATCATATTTTTAGATATTTGACAAAATTACTTTTTGTCAACTTTTTCAAAAAATTACTTTGAAAAACTATATTTTGCAGCTTGACATGTGTTGAGTGACAGAAGACTTGTAAATTTTGAAAAATAAGACAAATTTATAATAATCACTATATTTTTTTTTGAACATTTTCTTCTGCACCAACTTCATAGTTGCTTCTTTAAACAACTATCACACACTAAAAATATCATATGAAATAATAATAAATTTAGTTTATTTATTATTAAATAAATATAGACTACATTTTCCAACATTACAATACTTATTTTCTCTCTATCTCTCTATATATATAGAAAAGAATAGTATTTTTATGTTGAAAAACACCCAAAAAAGGGAAAAATTATTGCGTACGGACACCGCATGGATCTCTGCATGCGGTATCCGATCTTGACCGTAGATCACGGTGATATATTGTGAGGATATATTTTAGTTTTTTATTTAAAAAAAAATTTAGGTGGACCCCATCAAAATATCGTAAATCACCTAATTTATGATCAGGCCGTATGTAATAAATTTTCCAAAAAAAACATGCAGCACGCTTCGGGCAAATGATCAACACGTTATTAGCGCACAGCCACTTGCTGCAATCTGGAAACCGTGTCGGGCCAAAATTTCTCCAATTTATGAGTTGAATTGCTCCTCCGGAACAAAATAAGAACCGGATTCCGCATATACGGACTTAACCTAACGAGGGGTACAGATATTCCTTATTCCTTGTCTTATAAATGCGCGAAGACACAATAAACCGAGAGAGGATTCAGCGTAGCGGAAGCAATTATTTTCCTATATTTGTTTCGTTTTGCTCCGCAAATCTCTACCTCCCCTCTTGCATCTCCATTTCCCTCTTCTTTCCGTTTCTCCTCTGCTGTCAACAATCGGGGAGCCCTAGTTTGAGGAGAAAGGGGAAGGGGAAATGGGGAAGGGATCATCGAAGTTCCCGCTATCTGGATGGGAGGTTGCGGCTGGGTTGGGTGTGGTGGTGAGCTTCGGGATCGGGCTTCTTGCCGTCTATTTCTCCATGCCACCATCGGATTATAGTTTCCTGAAGCTTCCGCGGACCCTCGAGGAGCTGCAAACGCTCAGGTTTTTTAGTTTTTTTTTTATTTTTTATTTCTGTCATGCTTTAGAAAGATTTGTCAAGGAGTAGGTGGTGATTTGGTAAATTTTCAGATCTGAAAGTGTGATTTTCTGTGGTTTGGGTTTTGAATTGGAGTGGAATGATACTCGGGTAGTGTAGGAGGATGTGCCGATAGAGCTTGCCAAATGGGCAGCAATTTTCTTCTGGGGAGGATATTGAGTGAATAGTTAACGATCTTTACTTTTTTTTTTTCCAGTTTTAAGATCTATTTGCTTTTGAAAAGAGTGAATACGAAAGATTTGGGGCAAGGGTAATGGTAATGGTAATGATGATGATGATTGGTGATTGGTGATTGGTGATTGGTGTTTGCTGTTTTAAAAGAATCCTTTGCATTGCTTTAAGACTTGAAGCATTATTCACATATGTTGCTCTAAGAAGAGTTGAATAACATGTATATAGGTAGGTTATGCTTTGTTTTGTTATGATCTATTCGGTCCTCGGTTGAGAGGGTATTTTCAATTTTCTCGTGATGAAAACTTTAACATGCTGTTTAATTACTGTGGACATGCGGTCTCATTTGATCGGTTTTCCTTGATTTCTTAGCTATAATTCTCCTGATGGGATTAATATGTTGAAATTAAACCTTCTGCGGATCCCCATTGGAGGCTTGTTTTTCATTGTTGCATGATGACATGACTGGAATTTGGAGTTAGCTGTTGCATGGTTTGAATTTGGTTGTTAACCTTTTTTCCTTTTCCTTTCTTGACTTATATTTTCCCAATTAGTTTTTACCATTATTCTAGCACTGAAGATATTTTCTTAGAAGAAACATGCAAACTATGAAGCTCATTCAAAAAATGAGATGGCGTGTAGCCCCACGTTATGTTAGTATTCTTTTTTTATTAAATTGTTTTCAATAAATTGCACTTAACAATTTCCAGCAATGTCAATAAAATATCAACCATGATTTAGCTCTTATGTATATATATATATATATATATATATTTATCTTGCCATTTAGTTGAAGCAATAACACGGATTTGTAGGTAGTAGAAATTTGTGCAGTCTTCACATGCCGGGTTTTGACCTACAATGCTTAGGTGCTGTATGATAATCTCCTAGATAAAGCAAATATGAATGATGTAGGGTGATCTTTGTTTGTTTTTGAATGACAAATAAGCTATTTCTAGTTTTGGATGCACATTTATGGATGCGTGTTCCCTTAAGATGAGCTTATAAGATGTTTTCCTTAATTTTTTATTAAAAAAAAGATAAATTTTATTCTACAATTAATATTTTTCTTATAATCTCTCTATTTTCCTATAGATTTTCTTATGACTCATGAAAATATTAATTAATTCTCTATTGCCTTTTTTTTGACTAAAATTTTTTTCCTCTTCTTACATGATCTTGTTTTGCTCTCATGCTTATGGATATGTGTACATAGGCTATACCTTAAAGTGTGATTATAATCTAATATGAAGATGAATTGTCATTTTTTTAAAAAGATCAGCACATGTTATGCTCAGTTTCTTATTGATTTTGATTGCTACACGGCTCAAATTTTATCTATCTACTTTCCTTTCCCCTTTTAGGCCATTTATGATTTACCATTTGATTTACCTTTTAGGCCATTAATGACTTCCGAAGGTTAAGTCATGAATTAAAGATATTTGTTAAAAGATTGCATTGTTTTAATTACTTATTCAGGTTAAGAATGGGTATTTTATCATGTTCACCTCAAGTTGATTGAAATTACCCCTTGCTTTTATTATTTCTCTATTCCCACAATTTATTGCCCTTTTCCTGAGTTGTAGTGTCATAAACTCTTATGAAATCATTATAAAATTTATATGATACTAGTAAATTTCTGGTAAATTTGCATGGGCCATTAGTGATCATGGTCATTTACTTTTATATGCTACATGGATTTAATATATTAATGCGCATGCTCTTTTTATATATTATTGTTTGCATGTTTTGTATTAAATTTTTCTCTTACATTGCTAAAATTTTTAATAAAAATTTCATGAGCTTTTATTTTTCTCCATTATTTTTAAAATACAATTGGTTGAATTATGCACAATACATTGTAACCTGATAGGACTTTTAGGTTATAGTGTATTATTTTTTTTTGAAAATTATGATTTGAAATGTTTTACTTTTACACCGGATGCATTGCACAAATTTTTTGGCAACAAAATAACTAAATGTTGACTTTCAAATATTACATGCAATTGTCGTATACATCCAATCCCCAAATAAACATATCAAAGCCACTCACTCCAATTACATCAGTGAAGCTAAATCATCCGAGGAAATTCTTAACCACAACATTAAGAGTTTAAAATACAGCTTTTAAAAACTAATGCAAAAAATATAAAAGAGTTTCTGATCAACTTAAACTCAATCAGATAGGTGTAGATACTACTCTACACAGAATCCGACTATAATCACCCCTAAAAGAGCAAAATTGAATAATTTTACTTTTTAACAAATGGCTAAATCATGATACAGAAATCACGAGACACAAATATATATAACGATACTGCTATAATTCATAGTGAATCACATGTGGATATTAATGTGACAATGACTTGCAGAATGATGCACTTCCATAAGAATGTTAAGACAAAATATTAAACAAATGAAATATAGTGCATGTTTATGTTTTTTCAGATCACATTAGATTCATATGTCAGAGTATTTCACAAACAAATTAGTAGCTTAAAGGATCATGTCGAAATGAGCAAGTGCAAATCTTCATATGCATATAAATCAATTAAGTATCAATAAATTAAAAAAAAATCGACTTGAATTGTTTGCCAACTAGGCATGCCTGGTCTGGACTATGACAACATCGACCAAAGGCGTCCTTATGCGACCTTTTACCTCCCATATCATAGGTCATGTTTGAAAGACTTGGTAGCTTACCTGAGCTAAAACGATGCTGGATGTAACAGATCCTATCCCATAACAACCTACATAAATATATCTGTTGATGATAATAAGGGATAGAACACAAATAGCATGCTTAAGGTAGGATTTCAATATGTTTTATATCGTCACAGCTATAGAAATTAGTCAAGGTAAATTGGACATTAAATTCAGGTAATGCACATTGAATATAATTAACTTATGTGTGATGGCTTATTTTTTTACACTTGAATAGGGTCTTGTCCATGGGGCAAGAAATTCAAACTCTTCAATTTCATTTGGCTCCTTGGGACACGGGATCATGTTCATAAGTACTTAGGTAGGTTTTCCATTCAAGATGGTTGGGAAGACAGTTCAAAATGAGCTACCAAAAGTAATTCATTGCAATTGATTGAATACATCAATAAGTTTCGATGCATTAAGCTGCCTCAACCGACTTAGGATTAGAATCAACCATGCTGGTCAGCATCCACCCAACCAACACAAATTTGGGCAATAAATACTCGTTTGCTCTTGGTTAGTATGTTAGAACCGCCTACCAATTGTGAAGTCGCGTGTCAATATGCGATCTCTCTTAATCCTATAATGTGACGCATCATCAACTATTACATTCTCCACGATCTTTAGCGCTTTATAGAAACATAGAGCATAGCTGACAGATTAATTAGGAAGATCTTAAGATTCTACAAAGAAGATGGGAGTAGTTGTATTAGAAGTTCGGTTCTTAGCATTCTATTTTGAGGATTTTGTTACAGGTAACTTGTAAAAGGAGTTATTACTCAAAAACAATTACCTCCGATTCTACTTGTGTGTTTTTTACCTATTTGTTTGATGATACTTCAATCACCGTCTTCCTTTTTCTATAACTACTAATTTAGTGTCTTTATAATCAGAGCTGTCAGAAAAAGCTCATCATTCGTGAACATTTTTTTTTTTTTACTCGTTAAGTAGCTTGTATTTGATTCGTTTGTTAAACAAACAGGCTGGAAACAAACAAAATTTTTAGTTTGATCGTGTTTTGCTTATTTTGGCTCGAATTATTTAAAAAATAAATAAATAATGTGTAAAAGTTAAAATAGTGGTAGCTTTGATATGATATCATTAATTTAGTTTATAATATAAAAAACAAAATTTAGGTGTTATATATGTAAATACATAAGAATGGGGTGTATGTAAATGCTCCTAGAATTTTTCCAAAGTGGGTGGTGTGTATGTAAGTGCCCATAGAATTTTTTATGAATGATGTTTAAAAAAAAATGAAGCACGCGCACCTGAAATCATAGAACTACACGCAGTTGTGTTGGAAGTGTTTTAAAATGAAACATTATTGCCGAAATTTAATAATGCTATTTGATTTATCAAATTTCAATAAATTATTATTTCGATTTGAACATAAGCTGAAACAAATCAATAATATTGAATTAACCGAACACGAACATATTTTTCACGAGCTATTTAGAACATGAGCAAATTTTAAGCCGAAAAAAATTTTAAATGAGCCGAACATGAAAAGACATTGAGCTCGCTTAAGCTGGGCTTGTTTGCACCCCTAATTATTATGGTTGTAGGAGAAAATTATTGAACATGTCTACATCATATTATAAGTTCTCTCTCCCTCTCTCCGCAATTCTCACCTTTTTGCTTCTTAATCCATTTCCCCATACATAACATCATCTCTTGTTAATCTAAGTAGGTTTGCTCGGCAGCTCCACACATCTTCCCCTCCTAAAGCTGTGTGGATGAGGTGGCCCAAGCCCAAAGCCCTATTCACACTTGATTTAATGAATTTTGTGCGTTGGAGTTGATGACTTTTATATGTTAACAATATGCATGTCATGCAGATTATATCTAAACCATATTAGTAAAAAAATATTTATTAAATCATTATGTTATTGAAACTAATCATACAATATGAGATTTAAACTCTATTAAGGATCAAGTGAAAGCATGCTAATATTCATATTTTAGGACCTACAACTTCTAATGGATGTAAACTAATCATGCAACCTAGCTTGATTAAATGTCCGTGAAGCTATATAAAACTAATTTATGGCAGCATGAAAGACTT